TGAATTTACAGTCGTTTGCTATTTAAAAGCCCATCTCATTTTTCCTGTATCATGACAGATAGGCATATACCTGTATAAAACAAGCGCAAACTCATTTCACTTTGATTATAAAGGCAGACCAAATTATCCTTCATCTTTGAAAGAGTTATCCAGGGTGGGACCCATCAGCAAAATTCTGCTGCTGGCCCCACTTTCCTGTTAATTACTTAACTGAAGATTCTAATTTGGAGCCCAAGAATCCTATCAACAGCAGCATAATTACTCTGCCTTTAATGAAAAACATTTGGATCTGGCAAGTGAGGCCACATCATCCCATCACAGTGGCAGCTGCTCCTGCCAGGAGCTAAGACTAAGCAATATTTTTTCCTGGCACACTATTTCTTTAGCTGCTCTTTTTTATTAGCAGCAGCTGGTTGGCCATTTGGCTATGGAGAGAGAGATACACTATAGCAGGGGAGACAAAGGGGTGGCAGAGGAAGAACAAAAAGCATCACATTTCCTTAGTAGTTCCTAATATTATCCAGAGATTTTGCAATGACAGGGAATCCCTGAATTTGCAGGATTCTTTTGCTCACTATGACACAGTGGCTGGAGTTATACAAATAAGTATTTGGAAAAAAGATGGATAGCTGCATTCAGATTTTATTTGAATCTTGATCCTGTGCCTCACATTTTACTGTTGGCAACTCTTAAGCACCTCATGTTGAGCACTCTTGATGTCAGCTGCTTCACCTTTCTGTTTTAGTCAGTGCATCTGGACACTGAGCAAACTCCATAGCACCATCTTGTGAAAAAATAGTCAACTGCAAGCTGTGGGGGGTCTACCAGCATTACCTCAGGCCACACAAATCTAGGGTTTGATCATCCCATCAACTGCTTGCAGCCAGGCCCCAGATACTGAACTGTCAGCATCTATGTATTTACATAGCTCATTACAAGCAAACTGTGATTCTACCTTGAGCACGCTCACGCACGCGCACACACACGGTTATTTGTATTGCAGTAGCACCTAGAGGTCACAATTAAGAATAAGCACTGCGTGCACACACATGCACAAAATGACCCCGACCCAAGGATTTTACAATCTAAGCCAGGGGTCGGCAACCTTTCAGAAGTGGGGTGCCGAGTCTTCATTTATTCACTCTAATTTAAGGTTTTGTGTGCCAGTCATACATTTTAATGTTTTTAGAAGGTCTCTTTCTATAAGTCTATAATATATAACTAAACTATTGTTGTATGTAAAGTAAATAAGGTTTTTAAAATGTTTAAGAAGCTTCATTTAAAATTAAATTAAAATGCAGAGCCACCCGGACCGGTGGCCAGAACCTGGGCAGTGTGAGTGCCACTGAAAATCAGCTTGCGTGCCCCCTTCAGCACGTGTGCCATAGGTTGCCTACCCCTGATCTAAGCATACGTTGAGACAAAAGGTGGATGCAAACCAGACCAGATGCAGGGAGGTGGGCAAGTACAATGAATTCATTTTTAAGTGTGTTTTATCTTCTGGGGCAGCGTGGTAGATTGTCCCATTAGAAATCATTAATAGTGCTATTTGAGTTAGGTAATTTATGGTAGCAGCTCTTATATCTATTTCCAGTAGTAATTTTAACACTTCCATGGTGCTTTTCATCCTTAAATCTCAAAATACTGTACCCATCTTTGTAATCATTACTTTGACTTATAACATTACAAATAAACACTGTCAGAGTTCAGCAAGCTTTGTAGCATGGACAGTATCTTCTTGGTTAAGTGTCTACAGCAGGGGTAGGCAACCTATGGCGTGTGTGCCAAAGGCGGCACGCGAGCTGATTTTCAGTGGCACTCAAACTGCCCGGGTCCTGGCCACTGGTCCGGGGGGCTCTGCATTTTAATTTAATTTTAAATGAAGCTTCTTAAACATTTTAAAAACCTTATTTACTTTACATACAATAGTTTAGTTATATATTATAGACTTATAGAAAGAGACCTTCTAAAAACGTTAACATGTATGACTGGCACACGAAACCTTAAATTAGAGTGAATAAATGAAGACTCGGCACACCACTTCTGAAAGGTTGCTGACCCCTGGTCTACAGCATGTTTTACACTGCATGCACTTCACCACTACCTCCTCAAGACAGACATTTTAGGGTTTCCTGTACCAGAGTGCCCTCTGCTGAATTGGAAAACTGACATCTAAGTTCTGCATTACCCTATGAAAGCTACATGTAAGGGGTAGGGATGAGACACTGGGATATTATCCATTTAATATAGGTTCCACTAGTAGGAGAAAGCTCTTTTGCTACTACTCAAAGTAATGTCAAGAGGTTAGCATATTATTGCTCTTTTAAACCCTTTTCACTGAAGAGGGTGATCACCGCTTATGTCTCCAAGCAGGCGTTATGCTGCAGCAACAGAAGCCACGCTGCAGGAACGGCATCTCAAGGACCCAGTCCCATTCGTCTGCTCACATGATAAAAAAAACCAAAAAACAAAACACACCCTATCACCTGTGGGTGAACAAGTTACACAAAGTGATCGCTCTTTATCTGACTTATCAATCCTCATCCTCAAAGGAAACCAGCACAAACACTTTCAAAAGATGAACCTGGGAGCTTAAATTCATTAGTCTGCGGACACTAAAAAATCATGAATTGAACAGGATTTATGGCTTATTACAACAATCTGTAACCCACTAACTGCCTCTCTTTGTCCTATGACTGAAGAGGTGCTAATGGGCTACTCTACCTTGTATGGTCCCTGACAATATGTGCTAACTGCTTATGCTAAACTATCTGTTCCACCTTTCAGGTTTCAGAGTAGCAGCCGTGTTAGTCTGTATCCGCAAAAAGAACAGGAGTACACCTTGCGTTTTGCTGTGACTGGAGTATCTTTCCCAGACCTGAAGAAGAGCTCTGTGTGGCTCTTTCACCAAAAGAAGTTGGTCAATAAAAGATATTACCCCCCACATATTGTCAGGGACCAACTTGTCTCTTGCTCACACGAGTCATCCTACTGGTTTAAATGAAACTATCCACATAAGGGTGGATCTGGATTTCAAACCAAGATTTCACTGCCAATTTATGTCAACATCTTGGCAACAGAGGGACACTGCATTTGTGATAAAACACCACAGAATATTTCATTAAAAATAAGAACTTTCTGGAAGCAAGCCCTGGTCTACACTAGAGTTAGGTCAACGTAAGGTAGCTGAGGTGGATCTAACTCAGTAAGTGTCTACACTAAAATGCAGCTCCCACCAATGTAACTCGCCCACTACATCAATTTAATAAGACCGTCTCCACTAGCAAGCTTACAGTGGCACAGCTGTACTGATGCAGCTGTACCGCTGTAAGATCACTCGAGTAGCTGCTCTATGCAGATGGGAGAGAGCTTTCCCATCGACATAATTAAACCATCTCCAATGAGCGGCAGTAGCTGTGTCCACAGGAGAGCATCTCCTGCAGCCATAGCGCTGCCCACACTGGCACGCCTGTCCACGTGACTTATGTCGCTCAGAGGGGTGTTTTTTTCACATCCCTGAGCGACACAAGTTATACCGACAAAAGTGCTAGTGTAGACATAGCCTCACTCCAACTCCGTGAGAGACGTAGTGCTTAAGTCCATGTAGTTAGGTCGACGCGGTGTCAGTGTAGACGCTGCATTGCTTACATCGACTGTGGCTGTCTTTCAGAAGCTGTCCCACAATGTTCCACACTGACAGTTAAATTGGTGCAAGCGCTCCTGGTGAGGACGCGCACTGCCAGCACAAAGAGTAGTTAATTACAGCGGTGGCTGTTAGTCGAGGTAACTGAGGTCGACTTAATTTTGTAGTGTAAATTTGTCCTAAGATTTTGCAAGCACAAGGTTCGTCACTGGAGTACATCTCTGTCTCTTTCACCAAGAGAAGTCGGTGAAACAAGAGCAGCCATGAGAACAGTTTCTGACGTTAGGGATTTGGAAAGAATTGTCACAGTAAGTATTTATACATTGTTACTATAGAAAAAGCTTTATCATGCAAGTTAACACTCCCATTCTATTTACAACATTGTTAGCGGAAACCCTGAAGTTTGGTTTGGTTGTTTTTTTTTTTTTTTGAGCGGAGGGGCGGGGAAGGTAAGGTACGGGGAAGAGAGGCATTTAGGAGTTCCTGGAGGACATTCTACAGTGTCAGGGGAAATGTCACTGATAATTTAAATAGCCTTCTGTCAAAGGACTAGAACTGCACAAAGGCAACCCAATTTAACCATACAACTAGCCAAGCTGGAGATGAAGCGTAACTCCATATCTGAGCAGTCCGCAGTTTTCTAGAGTATGGCATGGAATATCTGCACAAGAGGTGTGCATTTAAAATGATGGGCTTGTGAAGTTTATTATACAAGAGGTTTATGTTCCTTTCTCTGTTACAGGAAAAAAATCAAGAGGACTAAGGATCAAAATATGGGAGCCATTCTTCTTTTACTAATCAAAGGAGCCAGAAGCTCCTTTGTCTCCTCATTTAAGCCCAGCTGCTTGTCTGATTAAGACTAAAATGGAATTCAGCAGACAAATATTCTGGCTAAATGCCTCTTTTAAGGGCCAAAGATAGAAATAATTCAGTTAATGGTTTTGTTTAGCCAACAACATTTCCTTGCCAAGTAGAGTAGAAGGAAGGGCAGGGAAGTGTTCCTTATAGGATCATTCCTTGTAAAGCGAGGTAAATAAATACAGATACTGGCTGAAAATAGCGTCTTCCACTGGACGTAGCTAGCACCACTGATTTAACATCTGGTTGCCTGACTTTCAAACCTAGATCACTAAAACAAAAAACTGCTTCTGTATCTAATGACTTCAGCACTTCTGAAAGGCCTCAGATTGATTTTCTTGGCTTTAAATTATAATAAAAGCAACACCTCGTGACCCCTGCCCCCCAATTACCTTGTGTGACCCCCTGTAGGTTGCAACCCATCATTTGAAAAAAAAATCACTGCCCTAAACCATCAGGACCACAGAAGCCACGTATTGTACACAATGACTCACCGTACTACTGGAAATAGGATGGCTCCACAACACAGTAGGTCTACCAGGAATAGAATTCATTTCCACAGCCCATGGTCAGTTGTTGCCTCTTCTGTTGACTCTAGGATGATGTATGCCACATTTGCCAGGACCTACAGGACACAACAAGACATTAACACTGCTTCACAGGACCACTCGACAAAAAGAGTCTAAAAGTGGCATCATGGGGCTCCACTTTTGTCTTTCAGCGACTCCAGATCAAGTGCACCCATTTTACATGGAAAAAGTTGTGGTTGGTTGTTTTTTTTTGGCTGCCAGCTCTGCAACTCAGTCTGTCCTCATAGAAAGAGCCCACACTGACACTCATGAATCAACACCTGTAATTATGCTCAGCAACACTGCACCCTTTTGTCTAAAAATCATATGCTCAGTGACACCTTCAAAGGATTTTCACAGGTGTAATTGACTGAACATAATTTCTGCTGATATATAAGAATAAATAGAATCCTTGTTACTCTTTACTTGTGCTGATCTATAGTGCCAATGGGAATAAGAAATAGCAAACTTATTCATTTAAATATGTAGATAGAACTGAATACACACAAGGAGCAGATGGGCCAGTACTGAGGGCCAGTCTCCTGGTCTGTCGAAACTGAGTGAACGACTCAATGTTCTGTGCTTCACATCCCACCTCTCCTGCTCTATGCGTGTCCCAATGGCATCTAAGATCTGTGCTGTGGTTTTTAAAAGACAGGAAGCTAGCTTACAAGGTAAGAGGACTAAGGTCCACTGTCCGATGCCTCCAGTACCAGTACTACTACTTCTGGAGTAGGAGGTGCATTCTGGCCACTATGAACACATTGGGCATATTTTACCTGAAAGCCTGGAGACCTCCAATTCTAGACTCCTTCTGTTAACCTCTCTTCAGTGGTATAGGGCAGCTAGTCCCTGATCTCTGCTTAGTAATTTAACAATATTCTAGGGGCCAAATTCAACCCTAGTCCCTGGTCCCTTGGATCTGCTATTCAACATGGGGGAAAGTTGAAAAGTCACTCAAGTGATCAGACCTTGTCTCCTCCACAGACACTCAAGAGATTACAACTCGAGCTCCACTGTACTATCACTGCATTGATAGGCTTGTTCTGGGAATAGCTTTGCTGTGCTACACTTGATGACCAGTACTCTAGTGCAATTTGCTATCATGTGGGAGATCTTAGGCTAGAACCCACCTTTTAGGAGCATTTAATCCTAACCCTAATTGTTGCCAGTTCTGTCCTCACCTGTAGCGGGATGACAATCATAAAGACCGTTTTGTCTTTATCTGAAAGGATGTTTAATGAAAGCCCAGCCAGTGCCGATCAGTATGATGGTGATGAACAGCAGAAGGTCCTTCAGCCTGAAAAAGGAACAAATATAGCAGTGATACACAGATCCTAGTAGAGAGCAAGAGAGAGAGCCTGGAGCACTGGGACTGGTGCAAGACCTGAGGCCTGAACCAAAGTCAGGCCGTGTATTAAAGCAGCTGCTTACAAGTTCACTCTCTGGTATACGAACTTGGCAAAGGTACTGCTAGCATTGCTAAAACACAGGCACTCCTAGGAAGTACTAGTCATTGGATATGTATGTGAACACATTCCAGAAGATTAGCACTGGTACTTCCTGACCTAACACAAGGTAAGAGCAATGATGAATAGGGATGATTTGCTTAAGAGATCTGGAGCAAGGTACAAGGAGGGAGGGGTAACAAGCCGATGTCATGAAACACATAAGGTGGTACGTAAGTTGTTTGTCTCAGTCTATAAGCGTCGGGGTACCTTGCCTTAAAACTCTGTGTGGTTAAAGGGAAGAGAGAAATTTCCACTGCTGACTGAGCTGCTCCTTACTAGTGGGCACTCATGTCAGTGTACCTGAAGCTCCTATGGGCCGCTAGGACCATGCCTTGAAGGCAATAAACCTAGCTGAGTGCCCTTGTCACCGAACTGTGCCTGTGGTCTTTCTTTATAAACAACACTGAGGTTTGGTGAATGAGCAGGCTGCACTCTTTGCTAGCCCTTTGGAAGAGAAGGAGAGCTTTAGAAATGAGCTAGCAGAGTTGGCGGTTATGGTTGAGTAACATCTTCGTAGCGGTTGGTGGAGATTCCTTCATCAAGGAGTGTGCATGTCTCATGAAAGAAGGGCCACTGCCTCTGTTACTGTAAAGCGCTGCAGGGATTTTGGGTGAGCAATACTTTATTAGACAGGACAGTATCTGGTTAACTAAGTCCAGGCTCAAGAATGCATGTCATGATTTTATTTCATATGTAACCAATTGTTTCCAATACTTCTATTTGAATCTCTATGCTGTGTTATATAAACTTATACTTCATTTCAGTATAAAATATCTAAGTGCTGTGAGTTAGGCAGAGCAGTGAACTGAGGTGAAATTGGTAAGCTGGGGCGTACTGTTTCTTTGGAAGCAGTAAACCTGCAGGTCCTGAAAGGGTCCAGTGGATCAGGAGCTGGACGCTCCAGGAAGAAATTTGGAGGGCTCAGGGCTATCACTAACCCATAGAGAGACAGCGGGGCCTATGAGGCCTAGAAGGGAGGGCTTGTGTTGCCCGTGGCAGTGGAACTGGGGAGCTGACCCACAATAGGCACAGACAAGGCTTCCTGACGCTAAGGGCACGCTGGTAGCGAGGTGCCTCACAACCCTACGTACCTTCGGGAAGCGTTACAGAGAAGAACGATCAACAAAGAAAGCATGGAAGGAAGAGGACACAATGGAAAGACTGTCAAGAGAAGTTTGCAGAGAAAAGAAGCGGAACTCCAAGACCTATGAACCCATGCTATGGACCAGATGGAGGGGCAAAGAATCATGGGCACTTCTGACCCCATGTAAACAGGAAAAGGAGTTGAGAAGTGAAGATGTGCACGACAACCCCACCCCGATATACCTGCCTGCAGCCACATCACTTAGGGCTGTAACTTCATCAGCTCTACCAGGCTAAGTCAAACTTTAGAACTCGAAGGAAACCCAAAACTTCTGCAGCAGTGGTGTTGACTCAGACAGCAGCCTTTGCTTGATGTCTATAAGAAAAGGAATACGCACCTTTGCGCCAACACACAACGTTAATATCTTGGCCAGCGGTGGTCTTTAGCATTCTCATTGTACTACTTCCAAGAACAGGAAGGCTAGTTCTCTCTCCTAATCAAATTTCAATGTGAAGTTGACGCTCTGTGGCTGCTGAGTGTCCCCTGTAGTTTTAACGATTAACATTAACTTCTCCTCCTAAGAAATACTGCACAACATTGTTGGCACAAAATTCTTGCCATGTTCCACCCCAGAAGCAGCTGTGTTTCAGTAATGTGAGAAATGATCCTTATATAGATAATTTGGAAAGTGTTTTGGAATCTCAGCAGGGAACATGCTGTAAGGGCACAAGCTGCCATTTCCCTGATATACCTTGCCCTGCTTTCCACTTGTTCCACTTCCCCCATATGGGAGAAACAAATAGAGAATATTTACTGCACAGAACATCGAGGACAGAGACTTTGTGAAAGGGAGGGCTGCCATTAGCCAGTGAATCTTAAACACATCATTCCTGTAAACACAAGGGGGCAGAAGTAGCATAAGCTGAGAGTCCCACGGAGGCACATTAAAAAAAATGCCCCTTGAGATACCGTATCATATACGGACACATTCTGTCTGGGGCTTATAAACCGAGCTTCCTGTTAAGGCACCATTCTCTTCAATAAATGTTTCCGTCTGAAGTAAAGATGAATGTGGGTATTTAAAATGGCAGTGCTGTACGAGTATATTTTGCATAAGGATCACTTTAGAAAATTCAAGAGACAAGGTGCGTGAGAATCTTTTATTGGACCAACTTCCGTTGGCGAGACAGAGAACGAGAACACAAAACTTGGTCCAATAAAAGATATTGCCTCACCCACCTTGTTTATCTAATATCCTGGGACTGACACGGCTACACCACCACTACATACAACCGTAGAAATTCACCTTAGTTTACATCTAGCTCATTTCACGCAGCTAACAAATTCCTAGTTCTTTGCATTTTGAAGTCATTTTGTTCCTTGTGGGACTTCGTATCCTGAAGCGGTACCTCTAGAGTGCCTGTTGAGCTACAGGAGTATCCACTAGCGGTCAGTAACAGCAATCCCTACAGTTGCCATTTCCAATTAAGCTTTCTCGGCAAATCAAATAGCCTTCAGGAATAAAACAAATTTTGGTAAGGTTTATATTTAGAAGCTTTTTAAGCATGCAAGACTGTTTAAAACTACAAAGTTGTCTTACTGTAACTCAAAAATGGTTGAATCAAGTTCTGTTGGGAGGCCAAGGGAAGGCAAGAGGAGGAAAACAGACAAAACTGTTCCCCTGCAGAGACCAAGACAAGCCAGGTTCACACTTGTCATGATGCTGTAGAAAATTAGTTTACCTGCATTTACGAAGGATGTGGATCCACACGGTCCCAGAAAGAAAGAAGAGGAGAGCCATAGAAACGTAGAGCTTTGGAAGTGGGATCTCACCCGCCGAGAGGTAACTTTCAGGATTCTTTTCCTTGATCTCTATCTGAATAGAGAAGAGAAGTGTTAGATGTGTAGCTGAGAGAGACCTTTGACTATCGCCATTAGCTTAATTATTGCAATTCACAATCACAGATGTACGAGCTTAGAATTCATATTCCTAAAGTAATAGTGCTTTCCACCCCAAGGAGTCCCAGAATACTGCACACTAAACACATAGGAATCACTTCTTTGAAATGCAGCTGCTGCTTAATCATGAACAGTAACATTATACAATAAGAGAGGACAGGAACTGAAGATGCCTTCTGCTGCTTGAGTTGCATAGGGTAATTCAGGGAAGCAGAATGTAACTTCCTCCAGGAACAACTTATTACAAGCAGTGAATTGTATGGTCTGTCCATACTTGAATCAGACACACTAGCCAGAGCCTTGTTTAAATACGAAGCATAGCTCATATTCTAATGTGTACAAGCCTTCACAAAGATTCATAAAACACTTAAAATCTCTTACATCTGTTACAATAGATTTCTTCTCCTGTCAGGGGGAAGGAAGCACTTTCCTACTGCAATTCTACTACAGAGATCACTGCTACAGCAAGTGAAACCAAGTTTTCACATCAACTGAACTCTTCAAGTGCTTTTTTAAAAAGCTGGAATTTGTTCGGATTGTGTTTAAAAAGCCCTACTGAGGCTGGTGCTAACAGACATAAAAAAGCGAAACACCAGTTAAATCAACTTGGATCTTCACATAACCCCACCCACCACCACCTTCAACTCGAGTCTCATTTCCCCTCCTACCCACCCATCTCATTCTTGCAGATTATAAAGGTGCAGCTCAGGGACGCTTTAGGCTGCCAAGTTCTCACATTTCCTAGAACACCTATGATAATACTCTGATATTCAGATGCTCCCTTCGGTGATGTATCCTCTGTTAAGCTAGAAAGACAGAACTCACAGAAATTCAAGAAGGCTGATAACTAAGATTTAGACAGTGCCCTTAACGGCTGCCGTTATGTAAAGAAAAAGGATTCGATGAGAGAAGAGAAGAGAAGCACACACCACTACATTGGCTCTCCCCTCATCACAGCATCTAGGTCACAGTATGCAGGCTGTGCATGGCCCTGGTGGAGTCTTTACATCTTCATCCACTTCTTTCTGGCACTATGTTTTATTCCTTAAATTCTTCCTATTACACCACAGTTGATACTACAACTACTTCCTTAGAGGATGCCACTGCTATGAAATGAGACATTAGAAGGATATGTTGGATACAGCTGGGTCTCCCCACCCCAACTTCCACCCTGCCTCCCCCAGCAATCTGTGCAGAGCACATGAGTTGGTGCTCCTATGCTGAAGTCTCATGCATCATCTCACGGTACTGACTAAGCAAATGCAACAGCTCTAAGTTATGTTTTACACGTGATACTCACATCAAGGCTCAATAGGAGCTGATCACTGGTCTGCACAACACTGCCAACACACTTGTGGAAGCAAAGTGTACAGACCTTCATTTTCAGAGCTGATATTAAAATAAAACAAAAAATAAGAACAAGGAAAGTCAGCATATTTATACCTTAGAAAAGCATTGCTCTGCTGTAAAACAATCTCCATGGGAATATGAAAAGTCCTTGACATTTAGGATCATACTGCCCCCTTTCCGTACCTGTACAGTCACAAAGTTAGCAAGATGCCACTGTTTGTAAGTCAAATATACTCCATCCTTACACTTAATCCCTTGACTATGCCTTCTGGTAAATCCAGTGCCATTAGATACAGGAATCATAGCATTTCAATAGCTTATTTTGTGTGACATGGTACAACGTCCTAAGAATGACAGGCAGAACCAGAAGATTAGAACTGAGTAAGATGTGAACAATTTTTAAGGCTAAACCACAAACTCAGTCACATGCCACAAAATGTTTTATCAGCAGTAGCCAGCAGTTAAGTTTTAGACAAAGCAAGTAAGAGCACTGAAGTGAGAAAGTTTGTTAATCTGGTCTCACCCAGAAGATCTACCTCTTAGACTGGTGTCACACTGCCAACCCATAGTTAATTTAAGTTTTTATATATTTTTGTATCCCTAATTACAGAAGGCAACATTTATTACATTCAAACTAGTACACTGTAAGGAGCACCATGTGAATGAGTGGTTTACAAGATACGCTAATGCATCTTATAAATAAGAAGTCTTTTAGATCTTACTCCCAAAAGAAGAATCCATCTAAAAAAATGTATGTGCTATCGAGAGGCAGATTTATTAACGGAATGGGAGATTATGAAAGGGGGCAGTGGATTTATATTTTTCAGTGACTGCTACAGTGAAGGGAAAGAGTTTATGGAAGAGCTACTGACAAAAATCTTACCTGGAATGAAACAGTTCCTTTATCTTTACGAAAATGGTGCACTTGGCTCCATTACATTCTGGGGAAGAAGAGTAATAATAATAATAATAATAAAATGCATCTAGAAGTGCCTTCTAACAGGTAAATACTGCAGTTGTGTCATGAAATCAGAAATACATGGTGTACTTTGCATGACTTATACCTATGGCCCTTCGTTTTCAGTATTTATTTTATTTAAATTTTCCCAGGAATTGATCAGAGTTTATTACCACAACAACAAAAACAAATCAGTGTAAAAAACTATTAATTTTTCTGGGTAAATATCAGGGTTCATTTTGGTGGACGGAAAGACGGGGGGGAAAAGTATTCAGTAGATTAATACTTTGAATTCCATTCATCAATGTGGTTTGCTGCAGAACTAAAACAGAACTCAAAACACAATGCCACCTCTGAGTTTAATAAAACAATACATCTCTAATCTCCAAATAAAACTTTTCATTTGAATAAACAATTTACTGTTGTAGACTTGTAAATATTTTTAGGCTAATAGTTCTATTTAATAATTGGGCCACACCATTTGCAGCACATACACTCAACTTCATCTTTTTCTCCTGTTTTTTTTTTTTTTTTTTTTTTTTTTTTTTTTTTTTTTTTTTTTTTTTGAATTTTCAAATATTTCCTTGTGTTCTGAAACATATTCTGACAGATTTTTGTTTTCTTCCCATTTTAGTGTGTCAAATCTTTTAACCATTATCTGCTAAGAGCTTGAAATGTGTATGTGGTGAATGTGAAATTCATCAATACGTTCAGATGCACACACACTTCAGAGCTTGCGTGCGTGCCTGTTTATTGTGTGTATTTTCTAGACAAATACATAGCCTTACTTCAACAGGCAGCTTTGCATATACACACAGACTAATGTATTATCGTAATACATGTAGCTCATGCAATGTATTATATTTTCCTAATAAAACAAGTTATTTTTATATATTTGAATGATACAAAAGTAGGGTACAAAAATCAGGAAAAAACTGAATACTTTTTGTAAAACCCAGGAATTTTTCGGTAAAAATCGGTTTAAACTGAAAACGAAGGGCTTACTTATACCCCACACTGATCAATACACCCACTTTCCACTCCAGCTTGTGTCTGAAAGATCCACCCCCGCCCCGTCCTATTAGCTTATCCTGAAAACAACTAGTTTCAGTCTTACCTGAGTTGCTGTTATGCTTCTTTTAGACTTGTCACCTAGAGAATAGAGCATTTAGAGCAAATTCAGACACTTTGAATTCAGAAATTTGCAAACATGCTGTATTTTCTTCTGTTTTGTGTCTGGCCATTACACTACCCAGTTTTAATCTTGTCTACCTACCAGCTTCCTACCAGATTTAAAATCCAAAAGGCAAATCTTTGACCACATACGATCACCAACTGAAGATCAATAGTGTTGGATTTCCCAGACTCATGTACCTCACAGGAAATACTAGTACTAAAGAAGTCACTGTTCTAGCCCTCCCACAGTAATGTCACAGTAAGTGGTCATGTGTTATCTACCAGATTAAGGTTGAGCTACTGTCCTCAAACTAAGTTTTTCTCGAGTTGATGAGTAGGCCGTGATGGAACAGCACATCCCGTTCACAGTCCCACTTCAACAGACTCTATGAACATTGGCTGGAGATAGAAGCCTCCAAGAAGCCATCAGGAAGTGAGAGTTCAAGACCCGAGCTTAGGCAATGACCCTTGGATGGCAGCATGTTGTACCAACACACATGCTGCATTTCTTAACACAAGACCAGGCAAGAGCAGGCACACTCGTGCAGCAGAGCTCTCAATAGATTTGCAGATTTGATTATTTTTATCTATTTAGTGCCAGTATTGTTTTCATAACTATAAACCTAGTAGCCTAAGTACAAACATGAAGAGCAGGCAGCCAATTTTCACCTAAAGCTACACTGGAAATTGTGAGTGTTACTGCAAGACAGCCACCTTGAGCCATTTAAAATAAGCCTCCTACATTTCTTCCTACCCCTTTCTCAGTGACAGGATAACAAACTGTTTTCAGGTAATCTCATCAGAGCAGAGATCGTCAGATACTGGCACCCCTGCCGATAAAGAACCCAGACAATAAGCCACACAGACTCGGGGAAAGGCTGCTGTCGTAGAAGATATTATTGTCACTGTGTTAAGATGAGCAAGAGTCAGAGACTTGAGCCTAAAGGGTGATGTTGAGCCTAGTTGAATTTAGCACATCAAGACAACGTGCCAGGTTCTGGCTTAGTAAGGCTACACCATGGATAAGTCAGGACACAATTTGGCTCCATTAGTTTCAAACAGACAAATTCAGGTCCAGAACACACACATAGAAAACCCCACAGACTGAGGGTTTCCTTGTGGAGTTTCTTTTGAATTCTTCTGTTTGGGGGGAAAGGCATTGGATAGCCCACATGGCTAGTGTTGTCAAACCTCCCAGATTATGGACCAGGCTATAGACACAGCAGCCCTCTGCCTCAACACTGGCTCCTCAACAGCACTCTAACAGGACTGTTAGCAGCCACTTCCCCTGGACCAATCCTGAAAGCCGGGTCCAAAATCTAAAAGAGCTTTACATAGTTGAAAACTAAGATACCAAGAAAGTTTCTCACTTCTACACTGGAGTCCATCCGCAAAGTGTTACCAACTACCCCCAGAGTGGTAAGTAGCTGCTGAAGGGATGCCAAACACTGTAATCAAAGTAGAATCCAGTTAATCTGAACCACATAAGTAACAATAAATACAGCTTGATAGTTGGGAGTCGCAAACAGTTTGTTCAGAGAGTTGGGACTCCACAACTAGAGCCCTGCAAATCCACGGATATCTGCTTTATATCCGCGGACCATTTCTGTGGATCGTGGATTGGACGCAGATACAAATTTTGTATCCACGCAGGGCTCTATCCACAATAGTATGCGAACTGTCACATGACAAGATATTCATACACACCAACTGGTAATGTTTCTATGCTGGAAGTTACAGATATCCAAAGAGATATCATGAATGGGTTAAAGTAAGAGTTTTTTCCCCTATGGCTCAAGGAGTCTAGCCATGACAAACTGTTGCACATACTTGGACCAGAAATCCTGGCAGCAGCAGTACAGTCTGACTAGGTTTGGCAGGCTTACCTGGGCCACCAGGACTTTGGTTGCTCCCTACATTCGTGCGCTCAGACTCACAGGTTTGTTCTGAAGTCTTGGTAGCCAACCCAATGGCATCTCGGCAGTCATGAAGAAAATTTTAGGCAACTGGGCAGCAGCTTCTGAAGAGGGCTCTACTTTCACACTAGATGAAAGGGTTCTTTTACACAATGAAGGCAAGTGGAGCATTCACAAGCAGGCTGTTAGGCATATATTGTGTAGAGCTGGAATAGCAGAACAGTCTTCCTTACACACTAGAAAGGATGGCCCTAGATGAGGGAACTGGCTAGCAGCTAGACTAAAACCAGAGAGAAGAACTGAAATTCATTTAAAGACTATTCAGGCTAGAGAATATTCAGCTCAATATAGACAGTCCCGAGGGAAACTATCCACTAAAGTGGATTTGAGGACAAATTGTTCACCAAAAGGTATGAGAGAAAGAGACACTGTTGTTTTGAATTACTTCAATTTTTTTAGTCAAAGAAAAGAGAAAAAAGTTTCTAATAAGCACCCTTTAAGAATAGTAGGCCCTGAATTCCCTTTTTAAAAACCACCATTAAGGGATTTCTGCTCCTCCACTGTTTGGAGTGGACAGGCCCAAGACCACCACCAAACTGCGAGTGCATGAGACAGGAAGTGATCAACACCACAGTGAAAGTGATGCTAAACAGTTGTGTCAAACACACAAAGTGAAACAGAAAGAGAATCCCTTCCACTAACTTTTTCAGTTTTAGTAGTCATGTGTGTTACTTGCAACCAGAATAGGGAAAAGTTTTCACTCAGGAATAAGTAATAATATGATTTAAGTTAGTGGCAAAGTTATAAATCCATGGTACACCCACATCTTGAATACTGCGTACAGATGTGGTCTCCTCATCTCAAAAAAGATATACTGGCATTAGAAAAGGTTCAGAGAAGGGCAACTAAAATGATTAGGGGTTTGGAACAGGTCCCATATGAGGAGCGATTAAAGAGGCTAGGACTTTTCAGCTTGGAAAAGAGGAGACTATGGGAGGGAATATGATAGAGGTCTATAAAATCATGAGTAGTGTGGAGAAAGTGAATAAGGAAAAGTTATTTACTTGTTCCCATAATATAAGAACTAGGGGCCACCAAATGAAATTAATGGGCAGCAGGTTTAAAACAAATAAAAGGAAGTTCTTCTTCACACAGCGCACAGTCCACCTGTGGAATTCCTTGCCTGAGGAGGTTGTGAAGGCTAGGACTACAACAGGGTTTAAAAGAGAGCTAGATAAATTCATGGAGGTTAAGTCCATTAATGGCTATTAGCCAGGATGGGTAAGGAATGGTGTCCCTAGCCTCTGTTTGTCAGAGGGTGGAGATGGATGGAAGTAGAGAGATCACCTATTATGTAGTCCTGCCTTGTGCGCAGGGGACTGGATTAGATGACCTCTTGAGGTCCCTTCCAGTCCTACACTTCTATGATTCTAGATCGTGGAGCTCATGATCAATTCCACTTTTATTTATTGACTTTTCTCTATGTGTGACACACACACGAAGTTTCAGAGCATCCATGGGGACACAAAAGTACATAAACATCATCAAAATAGCCCCTCCTGGCCTTGGAATCTATGAATCTTCCCTATTCAAAAAACATGTACAGATTTTGCTAGTGCAGCAAATAATTATGCTTTGTAATGTGGTTTAGAGGAACAGTAACAGTGCAGAGGACCATTACAAAATCCATTGGGGAGGACTGTTTAGGAAGCAATTTGAGATCACCACTTCCCAACATAATCATTGCAGACCAGTTAGAGATTCTCCATAAGGAGAGAGGATGCTAGAGTAGCTTACCCAGATCCATGCAAAACAACACTAAATGCGCCTAAGCTGCAAGAGAACTGTAACTGCCAGCAGTGGAAAAAAAGCTAATAGCTGTACAACTTAAGAAGCAACCCCAGCTCAAAGGGTCACAGTATTCAACTCAAAGAATTTTACAGGAAGCCTGAATATAGGCTTTCACCCAGAGCTTGATAAGGCACCAGTAGTCTGACCATTCTCTTTTCCTAAAGTGTACGTCTTTCTCTGCTCCTGTACTGCTGTATGTAGTGAGAGATTATTTTATAATGGGATAAGAAGTGCAGGAGCTTCGTCTCTCTCAATACTTGCTACGTTCCACGAATGTTAATGGAAGATCTCTATGTGTCTACAAAGTCACTTACTGCTGAGTTGCTCTTGTCATCAAGGCTCCAAGGTCCCTTCAGTGAAAGGTTGCTGACACTGACCATCACGAACGCACTCTTGAAGAAGCCAAAGGTGCTGAGGTGAACTTTCTGCCTCACATCATCCTGGAAGAGATTTAACAGACAATTGTTATAACAGTTAAACAGGCAGGTGTCTGCCAATTAAAGATTTGTTGTGTGGGGGAGGGAAGACAGTGACATTTCACTTAAGTGAAGTTGTTATCAAAAACAGACTCTGGGTAAACTCAAGGAGCCAAATGTAAGTCAGTTTTGGGCATCCTTCAGAATAGAACCAACTACTTCATGAGAGCTGGTCAAATATAACTTCTCAAATCATCTGAATGCCACAATATTTTTCAAAATATATTAAAGATTTTTTCTTCAGTATTTCCCTGGTGTATTCATGATAAAGATGCAAATGAAGACTATTGTCTTGGCTCCACTGCCTAGTGTAATATCGCAACACAAAAAATAAAGTTGTTGGGGGATCAAGACAGTCAGTCACGGTTTCAATACTGGTTGCTTTTTCTAGAAAGCAGCTGTTGTGGCAAACTAGAGAGGAATTAGCTGATTCAAATATATTTCCCTGGCCCAAGCCCAGCTCTCATTTAGGTATGTTATAAATACCACATTATACTGTGATCCTGTCAAATCTCACATGTTAAGCAAGGTCAAGCTGGGTCAATGCTTAGATGATCCGACAAAAACCTAAGGTGCTGGAGGAGTGGAGTAGGTAATTCAATAAGTGGCCATTTTCCTTTCTAGAACTCAATGAAGGCCTCATCTTATAGCTAATGGACACTCATCTGAGAATACCATCTTTTAGGTGAGACAAAATGAGATACTTGATATCTGTGGTCATGAAGGTTTTCATTGCACTTCAAGAACATTTGTATTAATTCCACTAATAGCATAGTTCCACCTCAAGTAATTACATTCTGTGTACACAAAATCCCCTTGGAATTTTAGCTGTGGTATTCTCAACCTCCTGACTTAAATTACTAGAGTAATTGTGTTTCAGCACCGGAGGAAGTGATCCTTTTTTTCCCTTTTTGATCTAATGAAGGTAAGGCGGCTTAATTAGGTAAGGCTTTTAAAGCACATCATGATTTTCAGATGAAAGGCAATTAACATTAAAGTGTTATACACAGGGATGCCAAAGCATGGAGTAGGAAGGTCTTAACCCTACTATTTTGCATTGGTACACCTAGAATTCTGCATAGTCTGGGACATCTCCCTCCTTGAAAATCGACAACCAGAGGGCAGTCAGAGCAGAGAAACAAGAACTAAGACTAATTTAAGAGGAAAAATTTAAGCATGTATTGTTTGTCCAATTTTTAACTAAGAAATTGGACAGCCGTATGAAGGGTATAAGGATTAAAGATGGAGATATTCGCCTCCACTCCCAGGAATAATAGGATGAAACTGAGCAAAGAAAAAAATGTAGGCTGAATTTGATCAGTTAAATAGCGAAGGTGTATTAGATAGTAGAATACTCCTGAAACCCTCATTGCTCAGGCAAACTAAAGCTAGCCTGGACAAGGCATTGGAGAACTGAGCAGGGGATCCACAAAGCACACTAATAGGTTCTCTTCTCTCACCTCATCTCTGATTTCTATGAAACTTGTTCGAGATCCCAATTTAAAATACTCTTATGCATAATTATCACATACATATATGCACACTAGTTCTAATAAGAGGTAACCCCATTATTAGGTTATTTGTGAATAACCAGATGTGAATAACCAATGCTCTGCAGGAAAAATATTAATGGCACATTTTCACAGTTCATTCTTTGTTTAACAGATTATTTTAGTGTTTTCTCTTTGGCTTCTGGGTCATACTTCTGCACTTGAAACAAGAATCTACCTGGTTCATTTGCTACTACTCTCCATATAATGATTATTAATCCAAAATATGAAACCTATACTGTTTAGATAATATACAGCAGATATAGTTTACCCACGCTTGGTATAAGAGCCAGTCCAGATATGGGGGGGAATGAGTGTGGAAAAGATACAGGACACTTCTGTGGTATCTAAACTTCTATCTTGAACAGGGGGTGTGTAGTTTAACTTGCAATCAGAAGCATTTGTTTGCAGCCCAAGAAAGAATGATGTTTGGAAAAGAAATTCAACTTAAATTATACTTAATCAGCAATGTTTCATTAACATGCATACTCCCTCACCAAAAGATGGTCAAAAAAGTTTAATACATTACAGCCAAAATATTTTTGCTCTTACTTTTACCCGGCTTTAAATACTTGCACAGTTTATAGATCTATTTGACTGATTTTCATCTTTTGAAGAAATGGCACATTTTGTCATTAGTTTCTAATAAGAAAAATTATATGGTTGGAGAGCACCCATGAACATACCAGATCAGCAGTTTAAAGATTATAAATTGTTAATACTTATCTTGCCTCCCACTAGTAAGGTTCTTAAGACTCAAACAAATTTTGCTTTCATTTCAAGTGGGGTTGCACAAGTATAAACAAGAGCAGAATTTGGTCCTTAGATCTGCAATAAAAATGGGGGCTCAGGGCCACTAAGAAGGCAACTTGTACGTTGCATACTGTTTAATTCCAGACAAAATAAGAAGTTATGTCGACCTGTGACGAGGGATATGGACAACTGAGGTATCACCAAACACCCATAATTGTAACTCATACATGAAGTACAGGTACTTGCAGAAAAGCTGTATAATGGATTTTGGAAGGTTATCCCACATGAGTAACGGAAATCTGAGATTGTTTAAAGAAAGACTCCAATATAATAATAATGTATTAAAATTTTAGCATCTTAAAACTAATTACACAGGAAGCTACTAACCAGACAACATGATGTAAAATAGAACAGAATATTTTCTCCCTTAGGAGTTAGTGAATTGAAGAGTTGCTGTAAGGTAAGATATACTTGTTCATTTAACAACTATTTAAGAAACTCTTAATACAACAATATAGAATTTCTGTACAATTCTGTTAGTGGGAAAGCTTCCAGTGATTTCAGAGGAGACCAATTATTTTAGCCTTACTTTGCATCAAAGTTGACCACCCGCTGACAAGTATGTAGCTGGGACCTTTACAATAGGTTTTTCCCATGCCATGAAACAATTTGAACAAGAGTTATTTAAGGTCCCAATGTTGTGCCAGACACCTAAAAAACAGTTTTAAGGACTTGTCAAAAGCTAGTGATTTTTTCTGTCATGTTAAAAAATATAAAATAAAAAAAGTGATGCTTTGTCCACATAGGGCAATATCACTATACTAGCTGAAGTAGTTTAAAAGCTAATAATGAAAACTGTTTCATAGTACAGGAAGATTTGAAGTACAGATTAGGCCTGAGGGGAGCTCCATGAAGACATCACCATCTTTTTAATTAAAGAAAATGCTGAAAGTTATTTCTGGAACAGCTTTGAAAATACTTTCCATGTGTATGTTGTTGTTTTTTTAAGTGCAGAGGGTTGTTTTTTTTTTTTTTTTCATGTTTCTGACCTTCTCTGAAACATTCTGCACAAAATATTAAAGTCACAGACCACATGCACTCCCAAGGAGAGAGTTTCCCCAAGTGAATCTTACTTTTATGGACTAGTCTTTCAATAGCAAAGCATTTCTTTGTATCTTCAAAGAGAAAAGATACTTCATAAATAAACTTATAAAAATGACCCTCATACTGAAGGATGAGAAACAAAATAATCTCTTTCTAAAAGCAAACAACAAATTCTAACAGAAGGAACACTCTTTGCGCCAGTGTGTTAACTATTGTGAAATCACAATTATGTGGGTTCTTTAACCAACTCTGTTGTCAGCAGTTTGTTTCAGGAAGTGTAATGTCAAATATTCACTTAGAAGCTGTGGCCTTTAATTTGGCAAACAGACCTGGTGTAGTTAGTTACAAGTGAAGAGCCAACAGCAGAAACATTTTACAAGGGATTTCTCACGATACAGTTAATGTATGAGCTAGGTGTTTGCTTAAAAGTTGGAAGCCACTACATAAAAGGTGGTAAGGGGAGATGCTGCACTTCCAGCATGCATTTTGTCAAATCCCTATATAAATATCATAAGCTTGATTTTTAAGCACCTTTCTTTTCCTTCAATGGGAAGTCATTGTCAGTTCTCACAACACTCCTGTGAGGTTATATCAGTATTCCATTTTACTGTTCAGGAAACAGGCAGAGAGGATAAGTGACTCACCCAGAGACAGCGAGTCAGTGCCTAAGTAAGAACTATAACTCTTAACATCAGCCTCCCACAAAGCCTGCTGCCTTAAAATAATAGTGTAATTGATAGAATGGGGATTGGCTTTGGAGTGAGTCACTTCCCCACCCGCCCTTTAAATATAAGAACATTCTTACTGCTGCAAATACTTTAAGGGTGATTAGTGTGCATTTAACTAAGCATTTCCTATCTTTTGGGTTGTAAACTCTCACCCTTAGTTTTCCCTGTTATAAAGATCACATGATGCCTGTGTAATAACACAAGATTTGATATAAGCTCATTTGTGTTATCGAAGCAAATACTTTATTTTCATTGCACTACTGAGGACATAATGCCATATTACCCAGCATTTTGAGATGCTGGGCTTGGGGTGAGGTGAGGGGGCACAGCCAACAGCTACTAGGATAACTACTGGCCAGGGTCAGTTTGAAAGTCTGGGAAGTGAGGAAGAGAACATAGTAGTACCCAGGAGAAACTGGTCTAGTGCTTGGTTGCTGCTCACAGCTTTCTGAAGACACCAGTCTTCTGGATTTACTGCTTTCAAGCGGGTAGTGCAACTAACCAGTGTCTTGTCAATTTAACTCTACTGCTGCTGGAGAAGCCTGTGAGCATGAGCCCAAGCAACAATCTCAGGAAGGCAATAATGCAATAGCTTAAAATGCCAAACATTTGTAAGAAATTTTAAAAAATTCAAGTTCAAGCCCTGCCAAAAAATATGGTTTAGTTTCCTTTTATCACTAAGGAAAGCTTCCTACTTGCCAAGGGCCAGTGAGTTTTTCAAGCCCTCATGTAAGAGATTTGAGATTTGTTATGGTTACTAATAGATGGCCCTTCAATAGTTCCATTTTGGATAGCACAACATTCAGGTATTTGCATACTACGTCATTTAGGCATGGTCTACACTACAAAGTTAGGTCAACCAAATCAACTTGTTTCAGTCTAGTTCTCCATGTGTTTGCACCTAAATTTGTCTTCTGCTGATGTCAGCACCCGGTTACAGCGATGCAAGAACACCACCTCCTAGAATGATGCAGAGGCACAACTCACCTACTTGCACTGACACGGTGCGAGTGTTGACTCCGCATTACTGTGTTGACTCTAACAGTCCTTCAAGAAGCTAACCCACAATGCCCCTCACCACACAACAGTGGTTGCTCTGGTCACTATTTCTGACCCCTGGGCAGTGGAGGTCAAGACTTTGAAAGCCTCAGTGTGCTTTTGAAATGCTTTTTCCTGCCCATCTTGGCAAGCACATATAATAGCCCACCTCTGTGAGCATCCGACCTTGCCAACTCCATGCATAGTGAGTTACAAGATGCATTCCTGCATGGAGCAGGAAAGAAGTCAGCGCTCCTCGGGCTGTGGGGAGAAGAGATTGTGCAAGCACAGCTATGGAATAGCCGAAGAAATATAGACATCTATGTGCAGATTGCACAGAGGATGCTGAAACTGGGCATGACAAAGATGAGCAACAGTACTGTGTAAAAATGAAGGAACTTCAGCAGGCATACCACAAGGTGAGTGAGGCCAATAACAAACCTGGAGCCACCCCCAGGGATCTGTTGTTTCTACAACAAACTGCAAGCAATACTTTATGTGGACAGCACCCTGCATTCTACTGTGGACACTTTGCAGGAGCCTCATGCCAAGATCCCTGCAGTGCACAGCAGGGAAGAGGAACCCCCTCTCTCAGGGGCAGACGTAGACCATGCAGCGAGTCAGAAGCTGTTTGAAACTCCACTGGAGTCAAACCATTCCTGCTAGGTGAGCGCAAATGAGCCCACTGATGAAGGGGAAGGGAGCGTGGGTAAGTGTGTACTTGCATTATTCCTTATAAGCATTTCTTACCTTTTTGTTGCCCGAAGCCTCCTTTCTCTCCCTTCCCCCCCATTTAAAAAAAATGGCTCCCATCCCACCCACAAGTTAAGAGAACAAAGACATTGATTTTTGATTGCTCACAATACTTGCACAATGTTAGCAAATAAATTCAAAAAATAGTATGGCAATCCAAATTACACAATCTCCATCACATCAGCGTCCTGAGCTTGGATAGCGGCAGAGGTAGAGGGAGTGTCTGCTTTTCCATTTTTTGGCATGGTGGACGAGGCAGGCAGAATCAGGCAGAGTGCATTGTTTATCAGAATGGAGATGTCATTTTTATCCTCTTGTGCAATCTTGATCAGACTTGGTATGGTGAAAGTATAGTTCTCAGAAATCCTTGGGCAAATTGCTGGTATCCCACAAATCACTATCAAATGTCCCACTAGGCACTGCACTAGAAGTGGAATGGGGCACAGACTGCCTACCCATGAGTGCACCACTTTTTCCACCTATGCAGACACTCATGATGAGCATGCACAGTGCCCAAGTGATATTCAAACATCGGCAGCCGTATGCTGATGTAACTTATCTTGACTGAACTTTGTAGCACAGATGTGGCCTGCACATAAATAACTATAGTGTTGAGACCTAGTCCTCTCCTACTAGCATGCACTCTCCCCACCTCAAGTAAAGTAAAGTTCTGCAGCCTTCCTAACCTAACTAGAAGCAGTGAGTAGGGCTAGGTCTGCTGCCAATACCACTTACTTTGGCATGTTCTGGGGCTTCCCACTAACAAAAAAGAGAAGGTAACTGATAGGAACTATTTGCACTTTAAAATGCTTTCATCCTGATGATTCCTAGAGCACTTTACAAAGTATACAGAACCAGTGAGGAGCAGTCATCTCTAGGGTGGAGGGCAGCCACAATCTAGACCATAGTGGGAAGGGAGGAAGTTTTGATGGAAAAATGCTAGGGCAAAGCAAGCCTCTTCTCTTTTGAGAAGAATCACTGGATACAATAGCTACATTGCTCGGATGGGTTGTTAGTCTTTGCATCTTTCAGGCCAGGCCGTAAAATAGACTCCACAGCACTCCATTTGTCTGCCTATGAAAGGGAAAGGGCTAAGACCACCCTGAGTTTGAATATGTGGTTTTAGACATTCTAAATACATTTCAGATCACTAGAACCACAACTTTGGTTTAAAACTAGTCCAGAACCTCACAAAAAGATTAGTTCAAGAGTAATAACACTTTGCTACAGATTTGTTTTGTTCACACTTCCTAGCTATAACACATAAGTAGGAAGATTCAAGGATAGAGTCAACACCTTATATGATAGTTACAGAATTAAATTCAATCTTAACTATGTATTAGCTACTTTTCTGGGCTACAGAGATCATAATACATTTATGTTCTCAACATTATTTAGATAAATTTATGGAATTAAACTATCAAGAACTGTCATCTGTGATGAAAATTTTCAGATTGAAAGCGGATTTCCCCCCCCCCCTTTTTTTTTAACCTTTAATTCTTAACCACCATTTTTAATGGACACGTGCTCTCATAACTCAAGGATCAACAACTTCACATTCCTCCCATCCATCCAATTTGCTAGAGTATAAGCAGCAGCAACCTCTCACTTGAAGCACATTGAGTGAACAGTGGATCATGAGGCTTACTTGCATTGTCTATAGTATGGTTTCATAGACAAGGAGGCATTGGTGAGCACCAGCAAGGGGAAGACAGTGACAATATCAAGGATCCAGCAGCAGAAAAGTAGCAACAGAAGTTGATCAATCATAAAACAAGAGGATTCAGCTAAACTCACAGCTAAACTTACTAAAAGTTCTATAGGCTTTCCATAGTCTTTGTTTTTAAGAGACTTGCTATATTGATACATTTTATTATACCAAATCCAAAAATATGCTAGATGCTTTAGAGCAGGGGTTCTCAAACTTCATTGCACCCAGACCCCCTTGTGACAACAAAAATTACTACACAACCCCAAGTATCAGAGGGGTAGCGTGTTAGTCAGTATCCCCAAAACAACAAGGAGTCCGGTAGCACCTTAAAGACTAACAGATTTATTTGGGCACCCGCTTTCGTGGGTAAAAAAAACACACTTCTTCAGATACATGGAGTGAAAATTACTGATACAGGCATAAATATATTGGCACATGAAGAGAAGGGAGTTACCTTAAAAGTGGAGAACCAGTGTTGACAAGGTCAATTCAGTCAGGGTAGATGTGGTCCACTCCCAATAACTGACGACCCCGGGGGGGGGGGGGGGGGGCAGAAGCCTGAGCCCGCCAAGTCCCGCTGCCCTGCGGGGGGGAGGAGGGGGAGCAAAGCCCAAGCGCTTCAGCCCCAGGCAGGGGGACTGTAACCTCAACCCCGCCACCCTTGGGCTTCAGTGGGGCTCGGGCTTCGGCCCCATACCCCAGCAAGTCTAAGCCAGCCCTGGCAACCCCATTAAAATGGGGTCCAGCCACACTTTAGAGCAGTCCAGGGCAGCTTCGGAGGGAAGCTAAAGCGCCAGCAGCGGGGGGCGGGGGAACAGGGCAGCCAGGCCAGCGGGGGCCCAACAGGGAACACGGAACGAGCCCAGAAGAAGGGGCCGGACACAGAGGAACGGGGACAAGGGGCGGGGCCCACACAGAGACTACAGAGCCCCGGGGGCGGGGATGGGGAGTCGGTGGGGGGGAAGACGCCGGGGCTGAGCAGCCCTTGGCTACCGCAGGGGCCCGCCGAGCTCGCCCAGGTCTTACCTGCAGGCTGAGGCGATACACCCGGTTCCTGCCCACAGCCACAGCAGCGCCCCCAGGGCCAGCGCCTTCCCCCGCGGAGAGCAGGTACCGCGGGCGGCCATCTTCGCCCCAGCGTCACTTCCGGGCCCGGGGTCATGTGATCGGGGGCGGCAGTGCTGGGGTCATGGAGGGAGTCTGCGGCTGGGGAGGAGAGAGTGACGGGGGGCGGGGCGTGCGCTTGG